GGAGCTCAGGTTTAGGGAGTTCGCTCTTAACAAGGAGCTCGGACTAAGTACAGCGGTCTGGAGTTCGGGCTCGGTAGTGAGTTTGGACTTGCTTCCGATGTTCGCTTTGGGTGCTCTACTGTCCCGAGCTGCTTGCCTTTGCCACGTGTCGGGCGATCGCGAGGTCGGGCCAAATTTCCCTTCATCAGATGTAAATAATAAAAATAAAGGTAGAGAAAAGAAAATAAAAACTATGTTTTCCTTCTGTCAATATCTAAGCATTTTCTTTTAAACCTCTTATTAAAAATGGACACACCAGTGTGAAATGTGAAGGAAATAATAATAAGGGAAAGTTCTGGATTAGTACCCTGTATTTTGGGCCTAGTGCCACTTTGGTCCCTAAATTTTGAAATGCAACAATTCAGTATTCGAACTTTCAAAATGTGTCAATCCAGTATTTAACTAATCTGTTAACCAACTATTATGTGACATTTGAAAAGATACAAATGCCCTTTGTGTGTCATCTAATTTTCTTTATCAATTATCCACATATTGATAAAAATGAGCAGTTTCAAATTTTTATCTGTATTATTTAAGAAAGTTGGGGTTACGTCTCAATGGGCATTCTAGTAACCCCAACTTTCTTGAACAAAAGAGGCAAAAATTTGGGACTGATAATTTTTTATCATCGTTTGAATGATTGATAAAGAGAATTAAATGCTACTCAAAGAATATTTGTCTTTTCAAATGATACTTATTGACTAATTACTAATTAACGGGTTGATTAATGGCAAATACTAAATTAACACATTTTAAAAATTCAGATATTAAATCATCACATTTTAAAATTTGAGAACCGAAGTGACACTAGACCCAAGTGAAATTTCCCCTACTAATAAAAAAATTTGACACGATGCTTTAAATTTTCCTTCCTTCAATGACGTTTTATTTTAATTCGGGGTTGCAAACAAGTGATGCAACCATGGTAACACTAAATATGCTAAATTTTGTGCTGGAAGTGGAAGCTCATTAGATGTAATGGAGCTAAGTTTTGAACATCATTTCTCTTGCTAAACTTATCCAACGAGTTTACTAAGAGCCTCCCATGTGGCAAAACATCAAGGACCCATTTTTTTATGCATTTTGTGCTTGATATTATCAACCATTCATATCCAAATACTTCTCCAGTTTTGAACCAAGTAATTCGACCCATGAATACGAAACAGTGGCATATTCAGTGTTCATTTATGCTTTAATTTGTCCAGCAGGATTCGCTGCACACAAGTCTCTACTTGTCTGTCTCTGTCTGCTCGAGTTGGATGGAAAGGCTGAAAATTAGTTGTCTCTGTCTGTCTCTGTCTCTGTCTGCATTAAAGCGTTTGAAAAGTATAACAAATGTATTTTATATACAAGCTGTATGATATTTCCTGCAATACCTGCAACGGTTTGCAAATTGTGATCTGTAACTTGTCAAATCAATCAACGAGCAATGACCAGCCTTGACAATTTTTAATCCATGTAGCTTATGCACCTACAGTTCTTCACATTCTGAATTTTGAGGATTTCAGTCTTTCAGAGCCAGAGCAAGCGAATAGGCAAATCAGAACCAATGGCTGCCGGCTTTTATTTTCTTATTTCCTGCTCTGCTTTTCTCTGTTTCTTCTCTGGAACCTCCATCGCTGCTGACTTCATTACTCGATCTAAATCTATCAGTGATGGGCAGAGCTTAGTTTCTCAAAATGGAATCTTCGTATTGGGTTTCTTCAGTCCAGGAAAATCCAACCGCTACGTGGGGATCTGGTACAAGAATATCCCAACTCAAACAGTTGTTTGGGTTGCAAACAGAGACAACCCGCTTACAGATTCCACAGGGGTTTTAAAGATTGACGACGAGGGAAATATTGCCCTTGTCAATAAAACAAATAGCCTCTTCTGGTCGTCGAATTCATCAAAAGCAGTAGCAAAAACAGAGAGTCTAATACTACGGCTCCTAGGGTCCGGAAATCTTGTTCTGAGCGACGGGAAAGGCGGTAACCCAGATCAAAACTTTTTGTGGCAGAGCTTCGATTATCCTTGTGATACTTTACTACCTGGAATGAAAATGGGATGGGACTTGAAGACGGGACTAAATCGGCGTCTGTCAGCGTGGAAGAGTGAAGATGATCCTTCTCCTGGAGAGATTACTCATGGGATGGAACTTTACGCAGACCCAGAAGCAGTCATGTGGATTAGATCCAGAAAACGTTACAGAAGTGGACCATGGAATGGGCGAGGGTTTAGTGGAGCATCTCATAGTATGAAAGATAACGCGATGTTTACTTACCACTTTACGTTCAACGAGGAGGAGGTATCCTTCCTGTACCAACCCATCAATGGCAGTATTCTTTCGAGAACCGTCCTAGAAATGAGCCACGACAGCGGCCAGTTTGAACGCCTCTACTGGGATGATCGGCAACAGAAATGGGAATTTTACTTTAAGCTGCCAAAAGAGTTCTGTGACGAGTATGGCGCCTGCGGTGCATACAGTAATTGCGACATGAATGCATCGCCATACTGCAAGTGTTTGAAGGGGTTCAAGCCTAAATCTCCGGCTGCTTGGAACTCAATGATTTGGTCCGATGGATGCACACACCAGACATCCTTGGATTGCGGCAAGGGAAAGGGGGAGGGGTTCTTAATAGTTAAAAGTGTGAAATTGCCGGATGCGGAACATACTTGGTTGAACAAGAGCATGAATCTTGAGGAATGCAAGGCAGAATGCCTGAGAAACTGTTCATGTACTGCTTATGCAAATTTTGACGTTACTGAAAGAGGCAGCGGATGTGTTCTCTGGTTCGGTGATTTGATCGATATTAAACAGTTTCCAAGTAATGGAGGTGGACAAGAGCTCTACATTCGAGTGGCTGCTTCAGACTTAGGTAAGGAATTACTTTCTCTTCCCACTTCCCACCGGTCATCTCCGTTGCAAACCTGCATGAGAGGAATTTGAATCCTCTGCATCATTGACCTTTGACCAGAGTAAAGTAATTAACACACCTGTACTCTGCTTCACCATTGTGGGGTTAGCTAGGGTACACATGCATTCGCGTTGGCAGTTGGCGGATGAGCCACTCATAAATGACCATTAGAATAACTTTGGTTGTTTTGGCTTTTGGGAAAAACAGATCCGCTGTTTGGATGTTAAAAGATTTTTCAAAGTTGAGATACTCAAGATCTCTTCAGCCTACAAAAGACAATAATATAGTTTGGAAGACTTGTTTGGTTATACTACTCTCTAAATCCTTGCTTTTGATCTCATAATGATGGAAAATTAGCGACGGTGTCTGCTAGTTGCCTTATTAATAACACATTTTACAACCATTCTCAAACATGGACCAACCGGACGGGTCAACCCATCAAAACGCAAAATTAGTAGCTAAAACAGATTTTTAGGTAGCCCAATTCTTGAAGTTGTTGATTTTATCAAACTTACATGTTCATACTCATGTTACAACCTATAATATTTATTATTTTAAGCTTATTTTGGTATAAAAAAATTAAAAGAAAAACTTTAAGTATATAATCTAAAACCATTTGTATTTTTTAATATTTTAATTGAAAAAGCCAAACAATTGAACCGGATGGTTGGACCATTCAACCTATAATGGGGTGATAAAATCTATTTTTATTTGATTCAAGCAAGAAAGATTTCTAGGTTTTAGAATGGAAGCTCAAAGCTAGGCATTGGAATAAAGAAATTTAAAGCCTCTTATTATTATTTTTTTTTATCTTTCTGGAGTTCCAACTTATAGAGGAATATGGCTTTCAAAAATCACTTTACTGAACGACCAAACCAAAAACAACAAGGAGTCTTTTTCTCAAGCTTTATGGCTTTGAAAAGCCCAACCATGACAAAATGGGGCCTGAGCATACACCGCCCATAGATTATGACACGTAATTTTTGAGTGATAAATGCACCCTTTTTCTTTTCTTTTGCTTCGCTTTTCTTATGAACTTAACCGAACAGACTAACAGCCAAATAGATAATCCTTCTAGGATTTTTACTGTTCAGTACCCTTGGAAATCTTTGACTCCACCGATAAATGCTGACCGTGAATCGAAAGCCGAATAATGTTTATTTCAACTAGTGGCGTGACAAGTAGGTCACTCAGACGGTCAGACCTTCCAGTGTCATCTTTGTCCTATCGCAGAAATGAATAAATACCGTTGCTGGTCATTAAGAGAAAGGCCAACTCTAATTTCTAATTTCTATACACTTCAGCCTGAACGATGCCACCGCCCATCGAATTGACCCAGCTGGATTTTTTGAAAGCAAAATTTTTGAGTCACCCTCTTATGTAATATATGTAACATTATGTAAGGGTAGATGTTTCCAATTCACGAGGTAGTGTGTTGTGACTTGTGAGTAAATATGAGCAGAATTCTCATGGGCCGATAATCTGGAGTCAAAAATTTTTCCCACACCGCATCCAACCACACATTTCATATCTTCTTACACATAAATTCAAGGAAAGATATTTTACCATATGTGGGTAATCATATTGTGTGCAGGGTTTTTGCTTTCAGAAAATCCCATCAAAGCATCTTTCCATTCTTTTAAAATTCAGACAAAAACCAAATCACACTGGATTATGGGCGAAATTTGGGCAGTTTGGTTAGGGCCATCCCTAGGCCCAATCCTGACATTTTAACTTTGGATCCAGGCCCAGCCCAACCAGAGTTAAACCCAAAATAACTTAAATTAAGGTTGTGTCTGAGCTTGTGTGGGCTCAAGAAGGCTTGTTCAGTCTCGGACGTATTGATTACATTTGCCTTTCGTTCATGTTCTAACTTCTAACTTTGTTTTGGGTTTTATAGCTCAACTTAGAAGTATAATAAGCTAAATATATCTATGTGTGTATTTATACAATTCATACGTGTCTGGGCTAGTTCAGATTAATCATATATGTATATGGTAAACGTCTAAAATGGTGTATAGAGGTGATATGAGATTTGGCTCTTAATTTAAGAATGACGATCCAATGAGGGCACTCTCACTCTCACTCTCATTGTTATTGAGTACGTATTTAACTATCATGTTTTTTTTTTTTTCTTCTTTTTTTGTATATATACTGTTTTTGAGCCAATGAATGATAAATGAATGCTAAGCGTTAATTTTGCATGACCATCATTCATTACCATATAACAATTGCAGTATGCAGCATGTCTTGGCATTCATATAAATTTTTGTGTGTGAAGATGCTTCGAGGACGGAGAAACGTTTGATACTGGTAGTCGCCATCACAGTAACCTTAGCGGTGCTTCTCTTGGGTTGCTGTGGCTTCTGCATCATCTGGAGGAAGAAGAAGACCAAATCCAAAGGTACGATGATATTAACTCGCCCACTCCAAGAAATGCTAGCTAGCTGCATGCAATGTTAATCTTAAGCCTCAGGGCTCAGGGCCAAGAAGTCGTTAATGTACTCGCTTCCTTTCTCCAGAATTAGGTAATATTGCTGAAAGCATTACAGACAGAAGTCTCTTGGATGAAAGTCATATGGACAATCTCGAGCTACCTTCCTTCGATTTTGTTACTATAGCAACGGCTACCCACAACTTCTCAGACAAAAGCAAACTTGGAGAGGGTGGCTTTGGCCCCGTTTACATGGTAAACTGAAACTTGGTACACTGAATTCACAGTAAAACACAGTTACATATATATATATATATATATATATATAGGATAATATTAAATCTCACTGTAAAAAGTAATTAAATGGCCGGCGGGCATCTGTCTATAAATATGTATATATAGGGTAAGTTCCCAGACGGACAACAAATAGCTGTGAAGAGGCTCTCCAAAACTTCGTTACAAGGACCAGAAGAGTTCAAGAACGAGGTTATTTTAATTTCAAAGCTTCAACACAGGAATCTTGTTAGGCTCCTTGGTTGTTGCATTCATGCTGAAGAAAGGATGCTGATTTATGAGTACATGGACAACCAAAGTTTAGACCATTTTATATTTGGTATGTACCACCTCATTTGCTCTCCAAATAATTCGTTCCCATGCATTTGTTCACTACTTTACATGTAAGCGTGGCCTCCAGAGAAGATTTTCACTGATTCAATATTAATTTATTACTTCCAATTTACATTGGCTGGCTACAGATCAGGCGAGAAGCAAATTATTGAATTGGAAATTGCGACTCCGCATAATTCTGGGAATTGCTAGAGGACTCCTTTATCTACATCAGGATTCCAGGCTACGAATCATTCATAGAGATCTAAAAACAAGCAACATTCTGTTAGATGGCAAAATGGAGCCAAAGATATCAGACTTTGGCATGGCAAGAATTTTTGGAGGTGATCAAATAGAAGCAGAAACTAACAGAGTGGTGGGGACATTGTGAGTGCTACCATCTCATCTCCAGCTCTAAATTTAAATCCCCATTTTTCGCAAACACAAATATAATTAATTTAATTCTTTGTTGTTGCAATGTAGTGGTTACATGCCCCCCGAGTATGCCATAGATGGAATCTTCTCGGTGAAATCGGATGTGTATAGCTTCGGCGTTATAGTGTTGGAGATAATAAGTGGAAAAAGGAACAGGGGATTTTGTCATCCAGAATTTCAACTAAACCTTCTTGGGCACGTAAGTATGGCTACAACCAAAAGAAAAAGAAACGATAGATCGATCTGTGTGTACGTAAACAATCCTTCATCTCCTTAATTGATGACTATTTTGTTTCAGACATGGTCACTATGGAATGAAGGCAGAGCAATGGAGTTGATAGATCCGTCAATGAGGGATTCATGTTGTGGGGATGAGGTAGAGGTACTAAGATGCATCCATGTGGGTCTCTTGTGTGTTCAACAGAACACGGAGGATAGGCCGACCATGGCGTCTGTGGTTTTGATGTTGAGCAGCGAGTGTGCATTGGCCAAACCTCAGCAACCTGGGTTTTTTGCACAAAGGTATCCTGTAATGACAGACTCATCTTCCAGTAAACAGGAATCTTCTATTGCAAATGATTTAAGTGCTACGGTATTAGAAGGTCGATAGACCCTTAGTGGTCACTATTGTGGGACAACTCCGCGAGGACACACAAGGCAAAATTGAGCTACATGTACCTCATGAATTCGTCGTTTAGTTTTACTCTCAGATTCGTTTATTTATAGGAAAACCATACTTATTCATCTTGTGAGGGAATTGTAGTAGCATCACCTGATCTATCTTTTAGAGGTGAAAAATAAAAGGTATATATGAAATACAAAATCAAGGTTTGTTTGTTGCATCATCTCCATGGTTTACTGTAAGAAATGATCGATATAGTTAACAGTATCATCAGACTGTCCATTCAAGAAGGATAGAAAATCCCTCCAAAAGGATCCACCTCGTTTGGTTAGCAGTGTTTTCTGTCTATAACAGCCCCCTATACCCTGTTAATTGATTATCCTCCAATTCCAATTTATTCTGCATATAGGAAATTACTTTGCATTTTGGATTCTAGAGCCCCATGGGAATCTTCAAATCTCGGTTTACAGATGATCAACCATATTAATGGCTGCAGGTCTTGGATGAATTCTGGTCACTTTAATTTTTAACAACTTTTTATTACTATAAGGTTCCTGCAGGCGGCATCCTCTAGATGTATAGTTTTTCTTTTTTTTTTTCCTTCTTTTTGATGAGTTATATATGATCATGTCTTTAACTCTTTAATGTGTGGGACATGGTTTCAGTAATGATCACTCTTCCCAAACTGAGCCTTAACAAGATTACATAAGATATTATCAATTAATAAGTTAGTAGATGCTGGGAAAAAGAAAAAAAAAAAAAAGCTTAGGCTCTTTTTAAACAGAAGGGAATGCTCCCATTCAATCCGACCTAACATTTTAGGATTAGGTTGGGACTGACGTGCCACATGTTGCACCGCTACAAATTGAGATTAAAGAAAATATTAGTGATGAAGATCAAAATCTCCCAGCACTGTGACAAGAAATCGGTGTAGATGGAAGGTGATGACCTGCAAAGAAAAACAAGTCAAAAAGCCTGGGGTGATATCCGGGCTTGGGACTCCGACGTTCAAATTTGTAATGGGCTGAGCTGTCCAACTACCTTGTGAACTTTGGAATTTACCTTTATATAGGTAAGGACATCCGTGCCAATTAATACATGGGGGCGTTCTTTTTTTTGGATTTTGAGAGGGGGGAAAGTTAGTCAATGGGATTTTGGTTCTCATTGACCAAGAATCCTATGCTTATTTTTTCAGATATATGTGGGGAGCAGTATCCATTTTCAAAGTGGGTAAATAACTTTCCCACGTAGGGGGGAAATTGTTAATATTTGAATAGAACAAAAATGCCCTTTTTAATAATGAATTTTTATGGTTAAAATAGTCGTTACATTATTTATCTAGGAAATAAAAGAACATAGGTACATGTACTTACCCCGATAAATATTTCCCAAGAAAAACTTACCTAGATAATTGTATTTACCCTAATAATTAACTTACTGAAAAGTGCATGGAGCCATAGTGGTAATAGATGAGACACTTGGTGGATTCATGGATTCGCATGCCAGTTTCATGTGTACATGGAGGAAGCACAGTGCCTACCAAATGACAGAGTGGGCATGAGATGACTGCAACGCCAAGGTGGTTGTCTTTATACACACGTGATTTAGCTCCAATATATTTCTTTTGGTGCTAATTCGACTTGACAAGATGTGCTTCTTTGGTTACTTAGATCAGCTCACATGTCAGGCTGGCCTTCATCACTCACCATCAAGGTACCTCGAACTGGGCAATTGTTGGGAATGTCCAAGGTGTTTATTATTCTGACGAGGCTTATGGTCTTATTGGAGGTCAGTTCTACCCCATCAATTAGCTTTGCTAGTAAAGGAATCAGTTTTGTGCTCTTTCCAAAAGATGTATACAGACTTAATGAAAGAATGGTAGGATCCATCTAATGGACGCCATRAAGGTTRMRGAATGGGTGGGGCGAATTTCAAAAATTTCCTACCTTCTCCCAACTGGGAATCATATTCCCTGAATTTAGAATACAATATTCAAGGATCTACTTGAACCCT